CCCCAAAACCCCAAAACCCCAAAACCCCAAAACCCCAAAACCCCAAAACCCCTTGTCTTTATTATTATAAAATTAAAATAAAATGAAAGGTACTTCAAAGAAGAATACAGTTACTGCCTTTAAAACTCCTGATGACAAGGACCTCTTCCTGGCGAGGGACGCTCAGAAGCAACGAAGGATTGAAGCCAAGGAGAAATTTAAGAACCAGAAAATTTGGGATAAGAAAACAGCTACTAGCCGACTTCCCCTGAAAAGGTTCAAGGATGCTGATTTACCCCCTTCTGATGCTGGCAAACAGGTTATTGTGTTCAATAATCCTTCTGATAAGGACATTATTGACGCTGCGAAGAATATATGTAAGGAGAGGGTTCAATTTCCCAAGGATCATCGATCCCAGAACGCTTATGAATTTATTGAACAAAAGAAGGAAATGTTCTTAGTTCAGTTATCCCATAATACAATTAAGAAAGAAATCGATGCTTTAGAGACGAAGATAGAGAGGAAAGTTAAAGCCCTTGACCAGTCTAAGAAGTTGCTTAATCAAGATGAAAAAGATGTCAGGAATTATGTAGAACATAATAATGAAAATACAAAGAAGATTGAACGAGAAGCTGAAGAAAAGATGAAGGAAAGAAAAGAGCTAGAAGAACAGCTTAAAAATACAGAAGCTGAGATTACTAATCTCAATTATCAAAGTTCAAAGAATAATCAAGATACCCTAGAAACACTTGAGGCTCACAAGAAGTTCCTCGAAGAACTCTCTGATGCGGAGTTTCTTAAAGAAAATAGAGAAAAACAGCAGAAGGAAATCAAAGCTCTTAAGAAAGATTGGATCACCGAGCAACTTGCTGAGTCCAAGAGCAAAGGCATCTTCACACAAGAAGCTGCCAAGAAAAGCGGCAAGAAAGACGAACGAATCAGGATGACCACCATCACCCCAGACATGTCTGACGAAGAGATGGACAAACGGTTCCAGTACTGCTTAAGCAACTTCTTGGTCAGTGTCCCCAAGAACTTCTACCACGAAGAAATCCAGTTCAAAGACCCTGACGAGATCAGCCAGAAGTTCAACGACCTCGAAGAGAAAAACCTGTTTCTGATCCATGCCAGACAGGAGATCGAGCAGTCGCTTGAAGAGCTGAGGAAGGAAGACAAGAAGATCCGCAAGGAGCTCACCGAAAGGAAACTCAACTACCAGAAGAAGCTCGAACTGCTCGAGGAAAACGAAAAGAACTACTACGACAACATCGGCACCAAGGTCGCTGGGTTTGCATCCCATCCAAGAAATGCTAAGGAAGAAGACGAGGAGGAAGTCAGCGTTCTCCTCGAACATCTTCGTAACAAGATCGAGATAGTCTGTAAGAAGACCAAGGCTGAAAAGATCGACCTCACCGCCAAAGGAACAATCGACATGTTATCAGATATAGAAATCGCCCTTGACGACAGAATCCACGAACTAATGGAGTACAGGTACTCCGACGAACTCGAAGTTAAAAGAGCGGAAGGCAACATCAAGAACAAAAGAAAAGAAAGGAACATCAAAGAGACCAATGATAAGAAATTTAGAGAAGAAAGGGAGAAAAAGAAGAGAGCCGATGAGGCCAATGAAAAATCCAAGGCAACCAACTTCAAAGGTAGAAAAGCTATGTACAGGAGTAAGAAGAAATCTATCGTCATGAAGAGGGATGAGCCCAAGGTCGACCCCCAGGTTGAAGAGCGCAAGAGATACATCGGAGGCATGTTTTAGGCCACGGATTTTGAATTTTCAAAAAAATGTACTTTGATTGGGGTTTTGGGGTTTTGGGGTTTTGGGGTTTTGGGG